GGGGCTGGACGGAGGCGCAGAGGGGTGGCGGAGGCGAAGAGGCGGGGGCCGCGGCGGCCAGAACCTAGAGAAAGTGGCATGCCCGAGCCTTGGAGGCGGAGGTGGCGGAGGACGGGGGAAGACGATGCCGCGACTCCGTAGAGGAGAAAGGCGAGAGCGAGCCAGGCGAGCGGGGCCCCCGGGCTCCGGCCGGCTGCGGGGAGGCGCGCGCCACTCCGAGGCTCCGGCCTCCGCACCTTCGCCCCCCGACGCTGCGGGCGACCGGGCCCGGCTCCGACAGCCGCCACCGCCGCCACCGCCGCCACCCGGAGGACCAAGCAAAAGTTTGGATCTGGGGGAGGGCGCTGCGCTGAGCGGGATTACCACCGGGGCTGGAAGAAGACCTGGAGAATCATCGCAGGTAAAGCGCGTCCCCAACCCTTTCGCTCCTTGCTCGGCCACTTAGCTTCTACGCTCTCCCGCCCCCTTTACCGGCGCTCTCTAGGGGCTGAAAGTAAGAGGGAGGCGAAGTTTAACATCTCAGGGAAGGGGCTTCCAGAGCCATCTGCTCGACGGTCATATTTGCCCGGGGGAGTGGGGGTGGGGTCTGCCTTAGCGCTTTCGGTGCCTGGAGGTGGATCCCCTGGGAAGGGATGGAAATTCCCGGCCCCGGTTCGAACCTCATCTCCTAGCTCTTTGGAAACAAGGGGTAGATTTCAGGGCTTTTTAGTATGATTCAGGTCAGGAAAACGATGCATGGATTTCACTAACCCACGCCTTCGCCCCCTCAATCCTTCGCCCTTACACGGGATGTCTTCAAATGACTTGAGCCCCCTCTTGCTCGCCCACCCCCTTTGGTTGGTGCAGGAGAGCAAATGCGCGGTTGGAAATTGCAGGCAAAGGGGGGAAATCATCCTTCTTTAGATATCCCTAGAGCCCTGTCTTTTTCCCCCACCCCCGCACCCCATTCACCTTCTGGCTTCATAAAATAAGAACTTTCGAAGTCACATTTTCCTTGAGGGGTAAGACGAAATGTTTTCGACTCCTAAGTGACCATGAATTTGCTGTGTGTGTGTGTGTGTGTGTGTGTGTGTGTGTGTGTGTAGGCCCATTTTTCCTTTGGTGGCCTGAAGCACCCGAGGCGGGGGTGGGGGTGGGGAGGTGAGTGGCTCTATGTGTGCACTGAGCCAGGGGCTGCCTAGGGAGAAGAGAGATGGATGGTCAGGTTTACCCGTACAGCAGACGCCTTATTCAGGCTAACTGGGGAAATCACTGCTGCTTCTCACCAGGAGAGCAAAAAGGTTCTAGCCCCATTCCCCTTGACCTGTTTCCCCCAGGGAATTTTTGAGTTTAGAAGCTGCTCACGTTTACCGCTGCTATCATATGTGTTATGATGATTATTTATTGGTCTGGAAACTCCTGGAGCCATCTCTCGTGAATGGAAGTCTGTCTCCACGAGCTTTTGATTTATTTTTGGTGGAAGGAATCTCTTGTAAAGCTTACAGTAAGCTAATCAAGTGCAAGGTACAAATCCGTGTAAATGCGCGCATAGGAGTGCAAGGTGCTGATTAGATTTCTTTACATGCTGCATTTGGTATGCAAAGCCTCTTCTAAATGGGAGCTGTGGCTCCCCGCTCAGCTGGGAGGATCTTTAATCACACTGGGTTTCTGGGAGCTTTGGGGGCAAGTCCGTGCACTCACAGGCTTATTGCTAAATTTATTATGTCTTAACTTCTCCCAGCCGAAAGCTAATATGAAGGCTAGGTTCCATATCAGACTGATTTTGTCTGTGTACTTAACCGTTCTGACCTTATTAAATCACCATTGAAAGGCGCCCCAAAACATTTGTAGGGAAATAAAATGTTAATTGGCCTCTGTCCAGGGATATATGGTGGTTGCCATAAGTATGTTAAGTTTTCTGTGTCTGATGTGTCAGAACTAGATACCACGGGGGGGGGGGGGGGGGGGGCCCACTTTAAATCACTAAGCCACATGCACTAGGCTCATATGATCTACAGCCACCATGTCATAAGAGACTCAATCTTGGGGTAATATACCATAAAAGTTGCTTTTTCTCTCCGCATTGCTTTCGCTCCTGAAAATACAGCATTTTTTTTTTCTTTCCTCCCTTCAAATGCACCACACAGGGAAGTGTTAAACCATTTAAGGACTTTCTCATAATCATGGGTGACAATGCAACATCCTACTGTCATGTTGAGTTGCACATATCTGTAACTGGAGGAGGTTGGAAGATGAAATTTGAAACATTATTCCAGGTCTTTCTGCCAGTAGGATTTGTAAAAAGAATCTGACTGGGTGTATTGCTGCAGAACCTAACACAGACCTGTCTTGAAAGGAATACTGTTAAAATAATAATAATAATAGAAAAGAAAATGCCATGTCTTCAGGCTTCAGTAGTTTCACTGCTGCTTCAGAATTCCAAGAGGTGCTTTTAACAGAAGAAAGTAGCTTCCCAAGTGACACCATGCTGGGCTGCCCACAGGTCCCTGAGACTAGCATGGATTTTCCTGTGTGCTAGGTTTCAGATGATGTGATCTTATCCAAGTTTGACTTTGCCCGGCTGGATCTAATTTGAACCTCTTCTGATGCCAGTGACATTTATATTCAGGCCTGCTGGAGAGTTTGATTTAGGATTTAGCCGTATCTCCCCAGCGCAACCTTATATCTTCCCAGTTTGAAGCTGTGGTTTCAAGAGAAGCTGAAGTCCAGAAGCCTTGTTCTGTAGCGATCCCACGTGAACATCTGATCTAGTTTGACTTTTCAGCCATGGATTTTACAACAGAGAATGGCTGCTTCTGCAATTAGCAGCCTGAAGTTAAAAAACAAACCAAAAAAACAGCAAGAATGTTGACTTGCTCTCGGTTTTGCTTTATTTAGAAGCATAGGAAAAGATCCAGATGATGGACTTCGAGGTCAGACCATTCTGAGTAATCCTTTTTGGGGGGTGGTGTTACATTAATTTCAAGTTCATTTTTACAGTAGATTACTTTGATAACTTTGTGGTTTCTGCCATGGTGATTCAAATTCAGTCCATTAGTGACCTCTATCTGTGAGAAGTGAATACTTACTCTTTTTCTCCTTTCTCATCAGAGTTTACAGATTATGTGGAGGGAAAACCCCAGCGGGTCTGTAACTCTTTCTGAAATTTTCAAATTTCAAATACAGTGTTCAGTGGGGGAAATTATATTAACAGAAGCAGTAAAACCATTCTGGGCTACTAAATGGTTGTTCTATACAGCACTGACAGTGTGATCAACATAGACACAATCCCAGTGTCATGCATTTCTAAGGAGAGGATAGAAGAATGTTTTGAGACTCACAGGACTGGTGAATGTAACTGAAATTTTATTGTCCCTAAATGCTTACATAAGGAGGGAAACTTAAGACAAGCTCAGAACCTGTGTGCAGTAACCAGTCTTTATAGTTGCCGTGGTGTGTGTGTGTGTGTGTGTGTGTGTGTGTGTGTATCTTTAAATTCAGCGGCACTTCCCCTGTGAACTTCTGGTACAGATCAGACTAGGTGGGGTGTGAGAAGAGTGACTTACAACAGATGGTCCCTTTTAAGGGGACTTTAAAAATCGGATTCCTAATCCTGCTTTGTCTTCTGAGGGTTTTCAAAATAGAAATTTTCAATTTGCGTTGATTGTTTTAAATGGTAATTGTAGACAAAATTTACTAAATTTCTTAGGTGGGTGGATACCATTATCTGACATTTTCCAGATGTTTTTTGATCCGGTGGTATTTGGGGATATGAAATTTTTAGGAGGTTTTTCTCTTTCTTTTCCCTTGAGTAAGTTCTACGCAAAAGACGCTTTTTTTAGGCCAATTATGATTACTATTAAAGTTAAACGACCATTATTAGATCTTAGCCAACTTTCTTACCTTTCCCTACCCTCCAAATTGCTCTGATTTTGTGAAATTATATTTCCTGTCTGCAACTACATGTTAGGGAGAGGAGTAGAACTATCAGTATCTTTTTCCTCCGATCGGCAATAAGCGGCCTCCAATTAAGTGCCTTTTTACAGGGCACCAAACACACGCATACACACCAAGAACCGTTTTAAGACAGAGATTCTTTTCAAGGTTTGAAATGTGTTTCTTTTTAAAGAGCTATGACACAAATACTGTAATAAAAATATCCTGTGTTCAGATGAGTACAGAGACTTACTTCAGTCGCCTAGAACAGTAAAACACTGTATTAGCAAAATAATCAGTGATATTTTCAGTAGATGGTCAAAATCTGTTAGATCCTTCATGTTGTTCCTCCCCTGCCCCCACCACACATGCACACCCCCTTGGTGATTTTCACATCTACTGGTCTTCTTGGCCTTCTTTGATTACTTCTACTGTGGCTCTTTGAAGTGATTTAAAATTAAACAGTAGCTACTTTTTTTTTTTCCTTTAAGGGAAATTCATCATGCTATGTTCAGGATTCCAGAAGAGTTAATGATGCAGAACAAGCCCTGTAAAACATCTTTCTAAAAGGACGCCTTCTCTTGCAGGCTTCCCACTTACTGGCCTCCTGTACCATTTGCAGTGAATTGGAACTCCGTTATTTATTTATTTTTCAAATACCACCTCTAACTTAATTTAATGTGGGGTTGTGTTTTCTGCAGAGGTGGGCAGCGCCTTATGTCCTGAGTCCCCTGAGCAAAGCAATGTCCTTATATTAAGGGAAGGTCAAAGAAAATATCCTTCTATAATCTGGGGAGTCCAAAGGCCCCATTCATGTCAAACACTGGCCAGTTTTCCCACTGATATTAAATAAGGGCATACTTTCTCTTTTTCCCTAACCTCCACCCTGGCAGTTTAGTGGTTAAATACCTCAGCCACTTGTTTGAAGCGTTCATAAAATAAATCTCTGGTGCTAACCATTAGGTGCTCATTAGAAAGGAGCCGTTTTTCGCACTTTCTTTCCAGGTTGCTTTTAAGAGAATGTGCGAGGGGCTTGGAAGGTCTTCAGCTCCCCTCCCTTCTCAGGTCGTGTGCTGTATTTCAATGCTCGTTAAGAGAGCTTTCAAGACCCAGATAAAAGAATCTCCCAAACAAACCTTGGAGAACCCGAGGGCTGGTGGATTGAAACCTATCAAAAAATATCAGGTCCCAGAGTTCACAGATGCTATTAGACCTCCGAATACTGAAGCCACAGAACTGAAACTGGCCCACAAATACACTGTCCGCTGAAGTCGACAGAGGTCAGGCGGCTGAACAGCAAACATTAGACAAGTATCAGTCCTGAAATAGGTTCACGTGCTCATGTCACTCCTAGCCCCAGCTGCCCATGGGCATCACTTTCATGAACATCCAGTGTCAAAACAGTCTCTCTCCCGGCTTTCTCCCCACTTTGCTCCTGCACTTGGAAACTCACATGCCTACCAAAGAAATTACGCAGAGGTTAGT